GATTGATCCATAGAGCAGACTCGAGGAATTTGATAAGAGGGTGGAGAGTAGGAAGGGAGGAGGTTCCCTTAACTCTTCTACAGTTTGCAGATGATACTATCCTTTTCTGTGAAGGAGGGAACCTCAATTGGATCCGGAATCTAAAGTTGACAATACAACTTTTTGAGCAGATATCTAACCTCAAGGTAAACTTTGATAAGAGTTGTGTGGCGGGAGTGAATGTGAACGAAAGAGACCTAAGGGAATTTGCAGGTGAGCTAAGTTGTGCTATTACGGACTGGCCCCTGACTTATTTGGGCCTCCCTTTAGGAGATAATCCTAAGAGTGTTAGCTTTTGTGCTCCGGTAGTGGAGAGGTTTGAGAAGAAGCTAGCGGCCTGGAAGAGGAATTATCTTTCTTTAGGTGGAAGAGTCTCTCTCATTAGGTCTACCCTAGCCAACCTTCATGTTTACTTTCTGTCAGTGTTTAAGATCCCCTCAAAGGTTTCAAATCTTTTGGAAAAATTAATAAGGAATTTTCTCTGGGAGCCTGGAGAGGAGAAGAGAGATCATAGGGTGAGTTGGGAGGTGGTCTCTAGGTGTAAAAAACTAGGAGGTCTTGGGATTGGTAATTTCAAGAAAAGGAACATGGCYCTWCTGGGGAARTGGYTGTGGAGGTTCTCTTTGGAAAGGGATAAATTGTGGACTAAGATTGTGGCTAGCATTCATGGGCTGGAAGACAATGGTTGGGATCCCGGAATCTTGGCAAGGGCTTCAATTGCTTCTCCTTGGAAATCCATCCACAATCTGCTTCCAGTTTTCTCCCCTTGGATCAGGAATGGTCTAAAATCTGGTAACCGAATAAATTTCTGGGAACAACTTTGGGTCGGGGATTCTCCTCTGAAAGACAAGTTTCCTTCCTTATATGCTCTTTCAAACTTGAAAAATGAACCCATTTCTTCTTTCTTGGTCCCTTCAGCCTCCACTTTGGGCTTTGGTTGGAACCTTGGCCCGCGTAGGGCAATTAAGGATACAGACTTGGATAGCTTGGTAGCTCTGCTAACCTCCCTTGAGGGTGTCTTCCTAAACCCTGCTAAGGAAGACACCAGATTTTGGACCCTTTCTAGCTCCAGTACCTTTTCTTGTGCTTCTTTCTTTGAAACCTTAACTCAACCTCCTACCCCCCTGGGGTTGTCCTTTCCAGTTAAGGAAATTTGGAGCAGACTTATTCCTCCTCGGGTGGGTTTTTTTTGTTGGGAAATTTTCCTGGAAAGAATCAACACTTTAGACTTACTTCAAAGAAAGAGACCCAATTATTGTCTAATTCCTAATAGATGTGCTCTTTGTAAAGCTGATGGGGAATCTGGCTACCACCTCATGGTCTCTTGTAAGGTTGCTAAAACTGTTTGGGAGTGGGTTTTCTCCCGTTTTGGGTGTTCTTGGTATCCTCCGGAGACTGTCCAAGGTTTGTTTTCTCCTTCTTTTTTCAGTTGGCCTAAGAAGCAAGGGAAGACTATGTGGAGGTGTATTAGGGCAGCGGTATGCTGGTCTTTGTGGGAAGAAAGAAACTCACACATTTTTTCTAACAAGGGAAAAACATTGGAAGATTTGTTAGATCGAATCCTTTTAAAAGCTGTCCACTGGCTAAAATCTTTGGAGTTGTTTTTAGATTGTCCTATGGATGACTTGCTAAGAAACTGGAAAGAGATTGCTTCCACTGCTAGATGCAAGAGGACTCTTTGTCCGTTCTGGTCCCCTCCCCCCTCGGGCTTTATAAAGCTGAGTTTTGATGGCAGTAGTGTAAGGAATCCAGGGCCCTCTGGGATTGGAGGAGTCTTCAGGAATGAGGAAGGGATTGTTAYTRCTTTATTCTCTGGCCCTATTGGAGAAGGTGACTCTCTTAGGGCTAAGATCCTTGCAGCGCTTGAAGGAATTTGAAGAGCAAAAGAATTAAATATTAGCCGCTTGATTCTGGAAGGTGATTTGAAGGTGGTGGTTACTTAGTTGAAGACAGAGGGCAGTGGTTTGTGGAACTTTAACAATGAGAAAAAACAGTTCTTATGGTTGGGTAGGGACATTGAGATTCAGTACAGCTGGGTGAAGAGGAGTGYCAACTCATTTGCGGATGGGTTGGCCAAGCAAGGAGTGAATAGGGAGGCCGTTTTTTGGGCTAGTTTTTTATTTTCTTTGCATTCACTGTGTTTTTTGTTTTTGGGGAGCTAAGTTATTTTATCTCCCTTTGTATTCTTTTCCCTCTCTTCTCTTAATTTAATGAAGATGATGTTATTGATCAAAAAAAAAAAAAGCACTATATTCATGGCTATGGAACTCAGCCCACTCTCCTAGTTTCCTTGGTTTCTCTATTTTATCATCTTCCTTATTTCATTTCTTCTCTACAACCAGCATTATCCATACTTATCATCAAACTATTTGGTATTATCTTGGGCATCTCTCCTTGTTATATCAAACAGACTAGACGGAGCATTTAAAGGAGAGAAAGAAGAAAAAAACTCTAGCTGAGTCAGGCACACCAGCTGGCTCAGAACAGGAGAGGTTGGGCAGTCCATTGCCACTCCACAAATATGTGCAAATTGGGGTATGGGTTGATATGACAGTCTCTTGTATTTTCTTCATATCCAAATCATGATAAGATATTTTTGCTACACAAGGACCATAGACATCTGTACAGGGGAGAATGGACATTTTTGAGGAATTTTCTCTGCCATAACCATCAGTTCAGTTGGATAGATATACTTCAGTCTCAGGCAGCAATTGTGGATAATTACCACAACAATATGATTGATAGAGCTTTGAAGTAGACAAAGGAGAAAATTGACTCGGGACAAGGGAGAGAACACTGAAAAATCAGAGTTCTCTGGTACAAAAGATAAACATGATTTAGGATAGTTCTTTATTCTACCACATTTCTAGAAAACAATATTGTTCTAATATTAGGAAAATCAATTAGAAAAGAGAACATAAGAAAGTAATAAGGGACAGAGTCCTGGAGAAACAAGGGATGCCAAAGAGATCCTTGCCTGGCTAACAGTCTTAACGTTGAAAGTTTCCTAATTTCCATGTTCATTGCCAAGCCAGACCCACGCAATATGTTCAACTACAGACTCTAGTCTCTCCTCAGTCCCTCTATATAGGATGCTAGCCTAATGACGTCCAAGTCGCCTTTTGCTATTCATGGATCAAGCTTAAATCTTTATATGTTAGCTAGCCGTTTCTGAATATCTAAAATCGACAATATTACCTAAAGCTTTCAAGAGAATGCCAATTTACAGACACCCATTATACTATTTCGTGCAAATCGACATTACACCTGATCCAGATGCACCAATCAACTTTCTCTTATCAAACAGCCAACTTCCATTTTGAAATGTTTCATCCCCGTTAGTTTTCCCAAGAATTAACCTTGTATTATAATTGGGTTTCAGGAAAAGAAGAGACAGAAAAACAAACCTGCTCCCTTGAGTTTGTTCCAAGCTGCTTCGAAGCCGCTTGTCAGCTGCCCGAACATTTCTGCTCTTACAACACCTAGCATTTCCTTTCTAACTAAAACACTTTCGGAATTGACCCAATTCCATATCTCTCTCTGAGATTCAAAAAGAATAAAATTTAAAAATAAATAAAAAAAAAGCATCTCTCTCTCTCTCTCTCAACATGAAGTTGAAATTCAAGTCTGAACTTATCTTTATGACGCAATTAGATGTTGGAGCATCTTTTTCTTGGCTTACCGTAAAATGATTTCTGGAAGAAGGTCCTACGGAGATGCTTGAGCCAGTCCAAGAAGAGTTGAACTTGGCTGATTTTCTCGGATTGCAGAAGCAAGGGTTCACTGAGAGTGAAGGACGAGATGAAGAGAAATGGCGGGAAGGAACAGTCGAGAAAGAAACAGCTTCCATTGTCTGAGAGAACGGTTCGACGGGGAAGCTCCCTCCCTCTGGGAGCAATCGTTACGTCTGACGTTTTATCCTCTCTGAAACTGAAAATCAATAATCCACCAAGCTATCTATCACCCGTACATGTTTCATCATCTAATTATCGTCTCTGTTTAATCCATTCCTCTTGTAAACCGCTCAACGCGCATCCAACGGTTGTTTAAATAACTGGGCCCACACGCTGGGGTAAATTATAAAAACGTTTTAAATACGAAAATGCGGTGAGCGTGGATCGAACACGCGACCTTCAGATCTTCAGTCTGACGCTCTCCCAACTGAGCTATCCCCGCTTGCTGATCACGTAACGGCAAAAATGCATTAAAGATTATGGTATAGCTGGTTAGATACAAGGATCAAAGTAACCTTATCAGGTATCGCATCAGATAGTTTAAATATTAATATGTATACGGATACGTTTTTGAAACGCATGGATATGAATGAAATATATGAAAAATATATGAGTATACTAAAAAATGATACAAATTTCTTAAATACATCAATTATACTAATTTTAAAAGTTAAAATAACCACAAATAAAACATAAATACATAAAGTAATATACACTTAATATAGTAAGATACATAAATATCTTACAGTTCTATTGATAATTCAACGATCAAGAGCCCAAGACTCATATTATATAGATTTTACAAAGTAAAACATGCACAAAACCATTATTATGTTAAATTCTACAAGTCCAAGACACAAAACATATACAATTATTATATTTTAATTACTATAGTAATTATTTTATATTTTTACTTTTGAACATTAACAAAAAAGTCAATTAAATATTAAATTTTGAAATGTTTGATAATATCAAAATTACTATCATATGAAATTTATAATTTTTCTATGATACATATATTATTGTCATATTTTTACTTTTAATCTTAACTAAAAGTATATCAAAATTATTAAAATTTCTAAGATACATATCATAAAAAATTCGTAATTTTTAATTATTAAAGTAATGATTCCATTATTAACATTTTTATTTTCTATAGTGTTTCTGAAATAACAAATTTTTTATATAAATTTAAATTAGTGGATTTGATAAGTTCAATTTAATATTATATTCTTAAATATTGTGTAAACATTTTTTTATTTTTGTAAATAATAAATATATTATTTTTAGTCTAAATTAAAATATCAATGAATAGTTTATAAAAAATACAAAAAATTTGAAGATACATATAATGTACAAATTTATGAAATTTAAGTACAAAAATAATTAGTTATTATTAATATTTTATTTGTATAAATTTATTAAGAGTAAAAAACAATTTTTGATATAAATGTAAATTTGGTAGATTGTTTACTTCATTAATGTTTATAAAGTAATAATTTTTAATATTATTTATTTATTTTAAGTTATAATTATTGAATATAAACATATAGTATTTTGTATTTGTTTAGGTTCATGTTAATGGTAAAGTTAATAAATTGTATTTTATTTCAACTAATATCATAAATTGAATGTTGGCATAGTGGTTTAGAATCTTAGCACATAATGGCATGATTACACTAAGACTTGAGTTCAAATCTTTATAGCAGTGCTTTGCAATATTTTTTAATCCCCATATTACTCTTGTAAACAATTGGGAGAAAAACATTATTCATCTTCCCCGACCTCACGATACACAAGCAACCGGTAATCCACATTTCTCTCTCTCCTCGATCTCTCTTCTTCCCCTACCCCTTTCTCTCCCCTTTCTCTCCCCTTTCTTCTTCCCGCTTTCCTCTATAGGGGAGGAGAGAAAGGGAGATCGGCAAGTTCTCTACCTCTCAGAATAAGCCCTGTCTGCACCCAGGCACTCAATCTCCATAACACCAATATCTAGCTAGGGTGCTATGCAGCCCAGACCGAATCCAGGGAAGGTTAAGTTTTGATGAAGACTCGACAATTCTGTGTGGAACGAAGTGGTTCACAACTAGAAACATGTTAAGGACAATATTGGATCTGATGCTGAGGAAAAATACAGAGACGCGGTGAACAAAGTAAGGGGAAAAGCTAAAGAAGTGTATATCAATGACCGATTTGATCAAATTCCCGGTGCGGCACTGAATTGGTGCAGATACTGATTGAGTAGTGTTGCTTCATACTACAAATAGCCTTGTTGTCCTTGGGCGACCCAAAGCCCTTGGATTATCCTAAAGACGACCCTATCTTTGGTAACAATTGGGACAAGGAGAGAATTATAAGCTGGATCTTGAATATATTCTTCATCACGAAGCAATTCCCACTAGTGGTTCTCAAAGAGATGATGAAGCAGAGCTTCTTCCAAGATGTGTTGGTAACAATTGGGACAAGGAGAGAATTAGAAGCTGGATCTCGAATATATTCTTCATCACGAAGCAATTCCCACTAGTGGTTCTTAAGGAGATGATGAAGCTGAGCTTCTTCCAAGATGTGTTGAAGAGAGGAAAATGGAAGTGGCACTTGTAGAGGATTGTCTTGTACAACACCCTAGTGGAACCCCATTTGCAAAGGTAGAGAACACCAGCAACGGTAATCTCCGATCTCCCTTTTTCTCCCCTTACCGTTGTTGTTGTTCGTATATTGTGAGGTCAGGGAAGATGAACAATGTTTTTCTTATTACAAGGGTAGTATGGGGATTAAAAAATTTGCAACGGCGGACTTCAACGGAAAGCTAACAGAAGGGGTTTCTATCTCACGGTCATAGTACAAGGGGGTCTTTGTCGCAAAACAAAGTATAGGGAGTCTTTGTCACATACCACATAGTACAAGAGGGTCTTTATAATTTACCCTAAAATCTATATAAATACATTAAGTTGGAATGAGTACGAAAAAGAGCCAGAGAAGGTGAGAAATGAAATCTAACAGTATTTGACCCTATTCAAGTAGGTAAAGTCCAATTGTTAGCAAGGAGTTCCCACAAAAAAGCTCTGTTAACATCGTTCGAAGGTAAAAATAGTACTTGACCCTATTCAAGTAAGTAAAGTCCAATGGTTAACAGAATCTAATAGTATTTGACCCTATTCAAATAGGTAAAGTCCAATGGTTAGCAAAGAGTTCCCACAAAAAGCTCTGTTCACATCATTCAAAGGTAGAAGCAGTACTTAACCCTATTCACGTAGGTAAAGTCCAATGGTTAGTAGGGAGTTCCCACAAGAAGCTTTGTTCACATCGTTTGAAGGTAAAATTCGATGTTTGTTCCACTTTGTTCATTGTCCTTACGTCTCCACTTCCTTCTCCGATGCTTGTGTTCATTCCATCGATCACATCGTTCGAATAGGGAGTTCCCAGAAAAATCCTTGAATTTCAGAAAGGAAGATCCGGCGCCGGTGTTCGTTCTGGCAATCACATTGTTCGAACAGGGAGTTCCCAAAAAAAAGCCTTGAATTGCAGAAAGGAAAACAACTCTAACCCTGCTCTTTCTCCACTTTCGTTCTTCTTCACCTCATCCACTTTAATCAATAGTAGTTAAAAGGAGGGTTGGATTGCAGATTCAGAGGGAGAGAACTTGTAGTTGGCTAGTGGTCCGGTGATAGTGGAAGTAGGTGAGATTAAGACTGTGTTTGCTTTGAAGAAAGAAGTAGGGAAAGGTTTTTGTAAAGGTTTCCTTACATTTCTCTTTCTTTCCCTACTTTTCCCTTCAAACCAAACATAGCCTAAAGGGTTGGATTGCAGAAAACTAATTAATTAGTAGTTCAAAGGAGGTTGCAATGGTTCCAGTAGGATAATTGGATTGCATATTCCAAAATTTGATATGAGAGAGAGTAGGTGAGAAGAAAAAATAAAAATGAGAGAGAGAAGAAGAAATAAGGGAGAGAACATGTAGTTGTCGGTGGTCCGGTGACGGTAGAAATAGGTGAGATTAAAAAAGGACATAAGATGACAACACATCACATCGAAATTTGAGAGAGCAAAGTGAATTATAAAAAAATATTTTTTTTTTAAGTTTAGACTCCAGTTAACTTTAACAAGTTCAATGAACTGAAGTAGAGATTGGTGGATGTGTTAGATAGGATACAGGTGTCCGTGAATTGCAACCCATCTCTCTATTGCCATTTACGTCACACTTTTTCTTGCTCAACAAAAAGGTTGAACCTTTTTTTAAGGTAGTTGTCTTTTTCCAACCTTCAATACAAAAAGTTGAGCCAACGCAAGAATTGGCAAGTAACCAAAGATCTTCTTATCAGTAGTTTGTTGCATTGCAGCTTTTCCACACGTGTGAATCTTCCACATTAATATTAGTGGGAGCAGGTAACCAGTTCTCTACCCTCCCATCTATATATATATTTGGTTTTTCATTCAGCCGTACAATTATCTCGGCAACCATATCTACAATAGGTTTTGTATTGCCTGTTTCTCCTGAATTTGATTATTTATTTGTTATTACATTGGCAATAATCTGTTTTGTTCTTGTGCATCCTTTGAGCTAACTTAGTTTAATGTTTTTTTGCTACACTTGGTCGTCTCTGGATGCGTCTCTCCAATAGGTTGACATAATTTGCCATTGCCCTTCCCACTATCTATCTTTTTACATTTGTTACAATTACATCCTGTGCTTTACATGCATTGACTCCACATGTTCCCCTTGAGATTTAGTATTTACTTACATGTTATTAGTTATTATTTGTTCTTATCATGGTAACTTGTTCCTGTCAAGTCCTCATCCAATTTATTAATATACAACCATACTAAATATGAGGTTACTACGATGTTATATCCATATAGGATAAACAATGTACACAACGAGATGCAATGCATTTACTATTAGCTTTAAACAGTTGCTACATGAAATGTTGGCTCATTTGTGCCTGCTCCCACCACTGTTTCTGCTTAAAAAGATAGGTGACGATTATTGTGTTGAGGTTCGCATCTTCATAGCACATGAGCACTTGAGTTTTTTTGGCCCTCATTCAGTGAATGTTAATGGCACAGTAGAGTTTGCTTTTAAATACGCAATCAGAAATTAAAGGCATTATACAAACTCCATGTGGAAGACGTGAACTTTGATGACTTTATTTACTACTCTTGGAAATTGATGAACTTGAATAAGTGCGTACCAATAGGATTATTTACCACCATTTATTCTAACTTATTAC